GCGGAGCCGGGGGCGGCGGGCGGCGGGGCGGGCGCAGGATGAGGGCGGCCATTGCTGGGGCTCCGCCGCTGGGAGGAGGACGTTGAGGAGGCGCCGAGCAGCGCAGCGTTGCGGGGGAGGTGCCCGCGCCGACGCGGGGCCCATGGCCAGGACCACCAGCCAGCTGGTGAGTGCGCGCCGGCCGCCCGGGCACGGCGGCCCGTCACCCAGACAAGCGCGGCGGCCGCTGGGGCCCGGCGAGGCGGGGCGGCCCCGCGTCCCCAGGGCCGGGCGGCGCCTCACCTGCGGCCGGGCGGCCGGGCCGGGGACCGCGGGCTTCGTGAGGGCGCCTCTCGGCCGCCGCGGGGAGCCCGGGCCCCGGCGCGGCGGGCGCCTGCCCGGCGGGGGCGCTGACAGACGCGCGGAGGGCGGGGGAGGCTGGGGAGGTGTCACTGGCTTGTCGCGGTGGAAGTGCTCGGAAAGTTTGTTTTCGGCGCGCCGCGGCCTGGAGCTGAGCCTCCGGGGTTACCTTTCATTCCGTCTGCGGAGGAACCGCCCTGGGCCTTCACCTGGAACGGGGTCCCAGTGCGTCTGCCGCAGCGAAGCGGGAGGGACGAGTTCTTGTTCACAGCACCTGATGCTCCGGGCTCCCCCCAAATTCACGGTTAGGGTGGAATCTGGTAGACTCCTTTCCCGGCCCGGCGGAGCGGCATTGGGTGCTTTTCCTGCCTTGGGGCTCTTTTCCAGCACTGGTTTCAAGTGTGGGAAGCCCCAGGGAGGTCGAACTTGAACCTGCTACCGAGGGGAGAGTGATCGTGACCCCGAGGAGGGATTGCAGGGGAAAAGAAAAAGGAAAGCACTTGTTGGGTGAAATGTTTTGCTTAAAAGTATCGTTAGTGTTTCCATGTTTTTTTTTTTTTCCTGTTGTTAAAAGTATCCTTGGCGTTTTGATGTTTTCCCTGTGTTTGAGTTTTGAAGTCGCAAAGGTGGTTTCAGGATTTATACCTTGGGCGCGACTATGAAAGTGGGTGATGGAAGAATGTCAACACAGCTTGCAAAATTTGGTTCAAAAGGCAAATCAAAATCACTTAAGTGAGTAAAGATCCAGGAAACTTACCTGACTCGTTGTTTTTCAGCATACAGCTTTGCCAGTAGCGGTTCTTAAGCCTTTTGGGGAGTCTCGAACCCCTTTGAGAATCTGGTGGAAGGTATAAATCCTCTCCTGAGAAAAACACTGAATTACCCCGCATTTTGTAATTACTTTAGCAGGTTCTTGAACCTTCTGCAGCTCATCCATGGACTTCAGGTTAAGAACACTGTAGAGATGGGTGACGATCCAGAGTCGTAAGAGGAGGACCTGTTCAGTTGAGAAAATGGTGAAAGGCGAAGGGGCCGTCTTTGACTGTTGCGACATGTGGCTGTACCCTGGGGTGTCTGGGCTAACAGGCAAAAACACGAATTGGGCTTCTTGGCGAGCCGCAGTGGAGGCCGGGGGTGATGACAATCATGGAAGTGTGTAAAATGAACTTTCATACAGCGGTGCTGTTGCAGTGCAAGGTGTGTACTTTGGTGGAGATCATGACAAGAGGCAAAGAGCACATTTCCTTGTGGTCTTGGTTGTTCCACACGATGGGCATTGGATATCTGGAATTTTCTCTTTTTTTTTTTTAATTTTATTTATTTATTTATTTGACAGAGACTCAGCGAGAGAGGGAACACAAGCAGGGGGAGTGGGAGAGGGAGAAGCCGGCTTCCCGCTGAGCAGGGAGCCCGGGCTCCATCCCAGGACTCTGGGATCACTACCTGAGCAGAAGGCAGACGCTTAACGACTGAGCTACCCAGGCGCCCCATCTGGAGTTTTCTTTGCATAAGTCATCTTTTTAGTGCAAAAATGCTGGAATCCAGTGAGCAAATGAATCGCGCTATGAAGGAGAGATCTCTCTGTCTGGAAGTGAGAGGAACAAGGCTTTTGTGTCTTCAGCTAGATCCCCTCCCTCCCTGTGTGAGAATTGGCCATATTTCTTCTCAGGAATGGCGGCGTTGCCCCTAATATTGGCTTTTCACCTGAAGACGGTCAGATTTGCATCGTTCAAGTGGGTTTGCACCTAGATTTTTTTTAAATTATTTACCTATTTATTTATTTGTCCCAGAGAGAGAGCGTGTGCGAGCAGGGGGAGGGGCAGGCTCCCCGCTGAGCAGAGAGCCTGATGCAGGATTCGATCTCAGGACTCTGGGATCATGACCCTAGCTGAAGGCAGATGCTCGATCGACTGAGCCACCCAGACTCCCTGCATCTAGATTTTTAAGGTGGCATTGTGTGGAGAAGCCCCCATCCCCGTTATTAAATTTTCCCGTTTCCTAAGCATGTGCAGCCAACAGGGGGAGCAGTACAAATGAAATCTGAAATTGGTTTAGTCTCCTTTGATTTCTAGTTGGGCCAGAGGCTGGAGGAACCATTTCTTGAGCACTTACTTTAGAAGCAGGCACTTTTCCAGATAGCTCACCCCATGTTGCTTGATTTCTGTTACTAGTGCTGTGTGAGGTAGGTGTCCTTCCCATTTTACAGATGTGGAAACTGGGATGCGGGTAAGTTAAGTATCCGCTTGGTAAACAGTGTGAATCCGTGTATGAGTGGTGGCAGGGGCCTGGGCTCCACTCTGCCCCCTCAGGTGGGGAGCACCCTGAGGGAGGGAGGGTCTGCTGGGCGGCTCAGTGCGGCATTGGCTTGAGGAAGTCCGTGGTGCCACTGCCCAGAACGTCTTCCCTGGGGGTTGTGCCTGAATGTCTGGACTCTGCCGTGCTGGAGGCAGGAGAGACATCTTCACATGGAAGGACAGCCCGCTTATTTATTTCTTTGGGCAGATGGCTGAACTCTGTGACCCCTGGAGCCTGTTTCAGCCTCACGCTGTCAGAAAGCAGCTGTTTGGAAAGAGGCTCTGCTTCATCTGTGTTTGAGCGCTGATATTCTGAATGCGTGAGGCTTGGAATCCTCCCTTTGGGAAACAAGAACTGTGCAGAGATTTTGTTAAAGGTAAAATGGGAGATCAGGCAGAGCGGCTCCCCGCACACTCTAGGTAGGGTGGCTCTAGCTTTTGCAAGGGTGGCTGCATCTGGGCGGGAAGGCGGCTGGGAAAGTGGGCAACATGGAAGGAAGTGGGTTCTGATTTCCACACTCCTTTTTGGGCCTCTCCTCCTCAGGAGTCTTCTGCGGTGTGTTGTATTTCTGTCCCTGTGACACCGCTACAGCAATTGGGAGCTGGCAGGGCGAGGTCCCTGTACTAAGAGGTGGAAGTGGAGGTTTGTGCGGTTCTCTGACAGCGTTTTGTTTTTTGTTTTTTTAAAGATTTTATTTATTTATTTGAGAGAGAATGAGAGAGAGGGAGAGCATGAGAGGGGGGAGGGTCAGAGGGAGAAGCAGACTCCCCGCTGAGCAGGGAGCCTGATGCGGGACTCGATCCCGGGACTCCAGGATCATGACCTGAGCCGAAGGCAGTCGCTTAACCAACTGAGCCACCCAGGTGCCCTCTGACAGCGTTTTGTGGGAAGGATCGCAGCAGCAGCCTGTCGCAGAGAGCTCTTCAGAGCAGGTCTCAGCCTCTCGGCTGCCTTAGCACATCCTGGGGATGAAGAAAAGGTGGCTCCTGGGCGTGTCGTCCTTTTCACTCTATGCTCTTGTCCTGACCCGCCTGACGTGGGGTTTGGGTGCATGTAGGCAAGGGTCTGATGAATGGGGAATTGCTGCAGAAACGGGGTGAGAAGCCCAGTTCTCTCTGAGTTGAAGGAGTGTGGAGAACCTTCCCTGGCACTATACTTTGTCTCTTCCTAAGGAGTGTCTTCTAGGGAAATGGACTTTGCTGGAACCCCACGCGCTGCTGAGGAACACTTGATGCTGAAATGACTCCCTCAGCAGGTGCGAGGGCCAGGGCTGATGTGTGCAAGCTCTGTGCCTGCCCTTTGGATGACAGCCGGCCATAGGGGGGAGGAGTGCAGTTGTTTTGAAGGCAGGTTCAAAGGGCAAATCACCGGGGGAGGAAGTGTTGTTGTGGAAACCAAGTTTTGGACATGTATCGTTCAGGCCTGTTCAGCAGTGCTGCCGCCTTTAACTGGCTCGCATTTGTTACCAGACCCTTTAAAAAATTGTTTGGGGGCGCCTGGGTGGCTCAGTCGTTAAGCGTTTGCCTTTGGCTCAAGCCATGATCCCAGGGTCCTGGGATCAAGCCCCGCATCAGGTTCCCTGCTTGGCGGGGAGTCTGCTTCTCCCTCTCCCACTCCCCCTGCTTGTGCTCCCTCTCTCGCTGTCTCTCTCTCTCTGTCAAATAAATAAATAAAATCTTAAAAAAAAATGTTGTTTGAATATCTAGAACCAGTGGTGTATCCAGTCTCTAGCTGAATCAACAGGCAGAGTGCATTTTTTCAAGAGTAGGTAAATACGTTCTGATGATAATGTCTTAGAGGAGAAAGGCCTTTTTGGGTTCATGATGGTTCTTGGTCTGCTTTCAGTGTTTGGTTGCACTTATGTAGCTGCACAAAGTCTGTTTCCATCCCCTTAGTGTAGAAAATTTTCCTGATTTTAACTGAGATTTTTTACTCCCAAGAAATTCCAAGTCATTTTGAATGTCTTAGGAGAGGTAGTTTGCTATAAAGGATCTATCTTTGTGGCTTTCATATCCCTCATCAGGGCAATTGATGGAAGTTTGTGCTTAAATAGCTGGATTGCATGTAGGCCCACGGAAGGAGAGCTGACTGCACTGCATGGTCTGCGTATGGAAAAGATGGGACATGCCCTACACTAGCAGCCCCTGCCTTGTTGCACAGCCCACGGAAGACCAAACAAGCATGGTTTTCATTTGGAGTGTTGTCTGGGGGCCTGATGAAGGTGGACACATAGTTCCTGGTGGCCCCACAGACAGGATCAGGTGCCCGGTGCACCAGCCACTGTGCTTTGAATCAGCTTGCAGCCTTCAGGGAAGCCAAGTATTTAAAGGTGTTGTGTGAAGGTATGTCTGAATGCCAGGGAGGTTCGTCCTGGAGGTCTGTGTCTTCTGCATGTTTGTGGAGCTTGTGGCAGGTCTGTCCACGTTGGAGAAGGCAGACGAGAGGCTGCGTGCAGACGACTGCGTGTGTGCATCTCGGCAGTATTTCAGTCAGAATTCATCCGGGTGAGAGCTTAGCTGTTACAATGATTTC